GCGGCCCGGAGCGGCGCGGCCTCCGCCGGCGCTGTGAGGTGCGGCCCCAGCCCGGCCGGCGGTCACCGCTCCCCGGCCCTGAGGGGCCCGGCGGGGCCTGGCCGCCTCTCCAGCGAGGGGAGACGGTGGGTTGGGGCGGTACAGGTCGTGCCTCCGTTGCCGCCGGTGCAGGCCGGAGCCCTGTCAGCAGGGAGGTGGGTCTTTCCAGCCCTTCCCCACCCGGCTCTCGCCCTCGGGCCGAAGAAGCTCTTCGGCGTTTTTTGGGGGCTGCCCGGGGAGCCCCCCGCACCGCCACAGCCGTGACAGGGCAGGTGCCCCCGTGCTCCGCTCCTGAGGTGCTGCCGAAGGGCTGGTCACCCTTACTGTTTGCAGTAGAGATTTAGTGTCCGTGCAGGGGGAGGAAAGGAAGAAGCGTGTTGGCACTTGGGCTGGGACTCGCTTCCTTCAGCCCGCACGTAGTAACAGCTTTCACCCACCCTCTGCGGAGATAAGTGTTGTTCCATAATAATGAACATCTTCCCGTGCGGCGTGGGCTCCTCCTCCGTGCTGGGCGAGCGTGTGTGTGGAGGGAATTCACAGTAGCTCCTGTCCCTGAAGGCTGCTGGTTTGGCTTGTTTCTGTCCTTGGTGCAGGCGCTGCTGCTGTCGGGGTTGATAGTGTCCCGGCTTTATGTCTGGTGTGTCCTTGTACAGCTTTGCATCCAGTCTCTCGTGTTCCAGCACGTGAACTTACACAGCCTGAGCCGGGGGATATCTTTGCTTTCCCTTTGTGTGAGCGCTGCGAGGCTTATCGAGGGAAGGAGAAGCTCGCTGGGATAGGGAGTAGGGCTGGGTCTCCTCTGTGCAAAGAGGATGGGTCTCTGGGCTTTGGAGCAATGAGAGCTCAAGCCCCATGGCATCCTGCCTGCTCCTGAGGTGGTCTGGGACCTCACGGTCAGACTTTGAACTGTTTGTTCTGGGCCTCCAAGAAAGCCCCACTCTCCAGTTGACTGACTTTCCTCCCTCTGTGTCTCTTAACTCCTTGTTGTTGCTTAGATAATCAGGTTTTGTCTTGTTTGAAAGAGCTTAATGTTTCTTCTGCAAAGGCCAGAAATGAGGAGCCAGGCTGTTCTTCAGTTATCTGCTTTCTAGGCATCTTTCAGCAATGAGCTTTGCCAGCACAGTGGATTTATCTTCTCTTGTCGACTCTCTTTTGAAATATTCTATATCCAGTAGCTCTCCTCCTTTCTGCTCTGCCTTGGGTGCTGTACCTTTGTCAGCTGAGGGAGGTGATTGTCCATCCCGCTTCTGATTTTTTCATGGTGGTGTTAATTGGAGGGAAAAAGTGTCTCAGCTGCCTGAGAAGCATTACAGTGTTGGAGAGAGAGGCACCTCTAGGGACTGGTGGAAGCCCAAGAAGCAATTTGGGAAGAGAGTTATTGCAAGGCCTGGTTATCCTTCAGTGTGGTTCTTCAACAAAGCATATAAGCTGTGCAGGCAGACTGTAACCAAGATGATTGATGCTGGAGTGAACATCAGCTGTTTTGCTGAGCAAACCGCAGGATATATGGCATTTGCTGTATATCTGCTTGAGTCATCAAAGTTTTGACTTGTTATTTGTTTCCCAAAGCTGATAGAAAACCAAACAGCTTTGGTTTTGGTAAAGCAGGTAGAGTTAGTGTCTGTCAAGGACTGGATACTTGCTGTAAGCACGTTATCTTGCCTTCAGCACGTTTGCAAACTGGCGTCACCAGTCGAGGTCTGCTCCCCGATGCTGGGCTGCGCCTCCGTGGTTGTTTATGTGGAGCTTATTAAAGATTGAGCTCATGGTTTTAGCTTGGCTTTCCATTGTACAGCTTAAGAATATAAGAGGGGGAGGTGAGATTTCACCCTCTAATTCTATGTATGGAGACAGTTTTTCTTGTCTATGTCAAGATGGTTGTGCTTAGATTTAGTAAACTGGTATTGAAAGTCACTGGTACTGTGGGTGCACATGGGGCGCATCAAGGAGCGGTTCCTCCACTTCATACAAGGCAGGCTTTTGTGATGTGGCCTGTTATCTTATAACTGAGTAGATCTAACCACATGCGCAGAAGTGGAAGAGAACCCAAACACTCAGACTTAATGCTGGTATAGTTTGAATACCTTTACCTAAGTTCTTTAATATAGGTGTTTTCTGGAGTGGTATGTACAAAGCTTTGCCTTTTCTGTCAAGGCTTTGTATGTAGGGAGTGTGAGGAATGAGAAGGTATTGTGGGGTACTACAGCAGACCCCATGGAAGGTGTGCCCACGGCGTAGAGATCCAGCCAGCCTCGCATTGTTGACAGCCCGAGGCTGCCTTTCCAAGGGTGTGCTTTGCAGAGCTGAAACTCTCAGCTCTTTAACTATAAATCGACTGTGTGTGGAAAGAAGTTGAACTGTTGTATGTGAGTGTGCTCAGATTTTCTGCAGAGGCTGCTGCTCTACTGTCCCGGATGCTCAGAGGTCGGTATTTAAAATAGATTGAGGGCTTCTTGAAGGTGAAGTTTTGGAGTGCTGCCCGAGAAATTTGCTGATCTTGCCCAACTTTTGCAGCTCTGAAGAGAGCGTCTTCAAATTAGATTTCTGCTTGGTGCATTTCCAGTTTTATTTATTTTCAGACCCTTTGCCTCTAAAGGCTAGCAAAAGGCTCCTGTGCAAGTTGTGACACTCGTCATCCCCCTGTCTGAATTGTTTGGATCCCACTGACTCGTATTTAGCTTATCTGGGGAATAGCACAATAGATGTACTTTTTCAAAGTGCCAGAGTGTCTGAAGGTAGGTGTTTGAAAAGGAAGCACTTTAGGGGCTTCAACCCTTGTGGGGAGTTTATTGCTCCCGTTATAAAATGGGAGGGTGGATAGCTTGATAGTTTCTGTGTAGCATCCTTGTTTCAGTAATTTTATTTAAGCTTTTCAGGGCTCCTTTGTCAGAGAGCTGGATTCATGGCAAGCTTGAGAACTGACAGAATACACCACAAAATGTTCCTGGGAGCTTTAAAAACTATCTGAGAACTTCAGGTTTTATTTTGAGATCGTATCTGGTAACACACTGAATTAAAAAACAAAACAAAAAATGCCTAACAACTAGCTTCCCTTTGAGCTGTCAGAATAAACTTGTAATGTCTCATCCCAAAGGGAAACTTCTGAAAATTAAGGGAGAAAGTCAAATGTGGTGCATACTTGAAAACATCTGCAGAAGTCACATTGCTTTCCAGCCTGGAAAGAAATCTCCAACCCTGAGCAAGGAAGGGGTGAAAGCAAGCCAGGCTATTAAGTAAAGGTAGAGACAAAAAGCATGGACTGCTGGGGACTCGTGAAGTTTGACTAGTATATTCTTAATATATATTCTTAATTCTCCTGCTAAGGTTTGTTAGAGGAAAAGACTACATTAGTTTGCTGGTACTTCTCTGTGCAAGCAGAACTGTTTTGCTTTAGCTTGCTATCGAGAAGTCACCTCACGGGATGGGAACGTGTGGCCCACGCTATCCTAAATGTGCCTGAAACAGTCTATAGACCAATTCACACGAGAAACATGCTTTAAATATTTTGAGCTAGGGTTAGGCCCAGAGTCCAATTGAAAATTTGATTTAGGAGCTTGTTTTCATCTCTGTTCTGCCAGGGTTCCTGCTTAAACAGTCTTGGTGGTGGTGTCTTCCTGCTGCTACTTACTTATTTTCTTTGATGTTTGGAATTGGAGTTTCAGGTCAGAGAGCCTACAGGAAGCAAAAATGTCTTGCACAACTTAGACGTCTGGAAGGAAGGGGAGCAGAACCTAGTGGTGACTTTCTGGAGCTATCATTGATGCAAATCAGTCAAGTTGTTATTTACTGGTGCTCCGGATGACGCTTTGGAAAGCTACACAGGGAATGATAGGGAGGAAGGCTCAGCTGAGGGCTGTTGGGTCGGCAGCACCAGGGAAAAGCAGCAGGTGACTCTCCTGGGAAACACAAAGTGAGATGTGCACCATGGAGGGTGGTGGCTTTCACAGAAAACAGGGCTGAGGAGCTTGTGGTCATTTAGTCCGTTGTCCTGTTTTAAACTCATGTTGTGTTACTGCACGATTTATTGCATCTGCTGTGAGAGAGGTTTTCAATAATCACTTTAACAGCTACAGAAGAATCTGGCTTAGTTATGCTTTAAATTTTTGTTAAAGAATTGACACGTATGGTGTGTCACTGACACAGATGATTCATTTCCAGGGTTCCAAGACCATTTTAAAGTGCCTTATTTTCAAATACAGACCTAATGGAGCACAGCTCATGCAACTCTCCTTGTGTTTTTTCCTCCCCGTTGCCTGTGTCTTTTGCACGAGAGCTCAGGCTGCTGAGCTGTTCTGTAGTGGTCGTGGAAGTGGAGGTGAAGTCCAGGCACTGATGGGTGCCATGCTGTGAAGGGAGATGGTAAAATAAAGTTTGCCTGTCACCTGTGACTGAATACATCTCTGCCCAGCTCTGTGTTCCTTGGATTTTGGCGTGACATGGGTAAAGGCGGTGCTGCTCCTTGGGCTGCAGGCTGGTTTCAGTGCAGGTGATGACTTCTGCTGCATTCACTGCCCCTTGAGGAGGGACTGACTTGCAGAGTGAGGTTTAGTTCCCATCTTCATGTTTTAGTGTCCCACCACTAAATATTACATCCTCTGGAAGAACGATTTTAATCGCTTCACTCTCTTGAAAAGAGGACCTTGAGATCGTTGCACGATGGTGGGCAGCAGAGTGCAGCTGTCGCATGAAAGTCCTAGTTTTCTTGACCGTTTTCTGCTCCAGGGCAGAGCCTGGGGCTGACCTAACCTGGAAATCCCTCTGCTTTTCTGCTTGTGGAGCAGCCGGAATGAGCCAGGGCTGTGCCAGCTCTCTCTGCCTTCCAGGCCTCGGTGGTCGTGGGGGCAGCCGTACCGTTTCTTGCCAGCTCGAGCCAGATGCTCTGGGTGTGGAAGTTGCTGGTCCACAGCAGCTCTGATTCTGTAGCTTTGCACAATTTTTAAAACCCAAGGAAAAGCTATGAAAGGTGTGTAACTTCTTCTTTCTCTTTCCAGCTACTCTTACCTATGACACTCTCAGGTTCGAGTATGAAGACTTCCCTGAGACCAAAGAACCCGTTTGGATCCTTGGCCGGAAATACAGTGTTTTTACAGGTATTTTTCATGCTCGGTGCAACATGCTGTAATGCTCCAGAGGACTTTGTTAGTGTTGTGCTTTGCTTCCTGAGCAGCAAAGTGACTGCAGAGCGTGTCTCCTCTCTGGCAGAGCAGCAGACTGTGGGTGCCATGCTTCTCTCTTTCTGTCCATCTCTGTGGGCTCTGGGATTTATTTTTTTTTTTTTTTGTGCAGAAGGTTTCCATTTAGTAGTTATTGGGACTTGTGTCATGGAGCAAGAGGATAGCTCAGGAAAAAGGCAGAAAAATGGTTTACTGCTTCATAGTTTGCCTATGGCCATGACTTCCTTAGGTTGATTGCAGCTCTTTTGGGGGTGAAAAAGAAAGTTTCTTCTGCACAGCGGCACTGTCCCGTTCCTCAGCCAGATTTTTGCTTCTGTGGGTGCACAGAGCGAGTGAGGAGCAGAGTGCTGCTCTTCTTAGGGAGGGTAGGTGAGAGATGGATTTAGCTGTGTTTGGTGCTACCCTCATGTTTGTGCCTTTCGATCCTGAAAAATTTTCAGAGAAAGAAGAAATCCTGTTGGATGTGACCTCTCGGCTTTGGTTCACCTACAGAAAGAACTTCCCTGCTATCGGTATGTACTGTGGATGAGTCTAAGTATATCCTGGGAATGATGATAATCCGGTTATCTCTACCTAATAAAACAGTCCCCACAGGCATGATGTTAACCATAGGATAGACTTTTTGTTTATCTGATAATGAGAATTCCTCATCCCATTGGATATGAGGGATAACAGTGATTTTTTTAAGAAGGGCAGAAGAATGAGTCTGGGAAGCCTACCTAGAAATGTCCTTTCTTTGAGCAACATGAGGAGATTTTTCTACTTCATGTTCATTAAGTCCTACATAAGTCTAACGTGAAATATTATTTAATGATTGTCTTGGGCTTGAAGTGGATTAAAGACATGAAAGCTAGTGGTATGATACAGAAATTAGTGCCTTTGTGTATCTGCTCTGGAATATGTGGGGGGTTTTCTTTCTTTGTGTGAGGGGTTTTTAATTGCCTGAAGTGGCTGTTACACACAGGAGCTGTAGTTATGTGGGGAACGTTTCCCTGTGAACTCGAAGGAGGATGTCTTGGTTCCATAAGATACACTGCATGGCCTCTTCTGTGGTGTGGTTTTGTGTAGTGACTGGAAGGGTTATCAGAAGAGATCTGAGAGCAGGCAAATGGGGTTCCAAGGCCCATCCGTGTCCTTGCTGTCAGCGTCATCCCCAGCAGTTGATGGGGAAAATGGCTCCAATGTGGAAAAGAGACTTTGTGGTAGCTGGTCCTTCTGGCTCGTTCTGTTCTTTCCCTACTGGGAAACCTTTTGTCTAACAAGCTGTGAGACATCTTTGACGCCCTTTAATCTCTTTAAATTCACGTTTATGACCCATAGTTAAACACATGCTAACCCTTCAATTCCAAATGCGTGTTTAACTATGGCTCACAAACCTGATTGGGGTTTCTGTGCGAGTTTATTAGAGGGTGGGGGGGGCAGGAAGAAATCCCATTTTCTGAGTCATTTCCCATTTACAGTATAGATACACTTTGCGTGTCATAGGGTAAACCCTTTTCCTCCTTCAGTCTTTCATTTTTTATTGTTGGCCACTTCTCGTGGTGCTTGCCCACTTAAATACTGTAAGCTCTTCATAGGGTCTTATGCTAGTTTGGTAAAGCAGTATCAATTTTGGATATAGTATATGTTATATATTGCTGGCAAAATTCTAGAAGATAGCCGCTGATCATCCAGAAGTTCATTAAATAGTTCTCTTGGGTGATTTTTCTCCCTGTGCTATTCATGCGAAGTAGTTGCATGTGATTGAAAGAAAAAAGCAGCATTACAAAGGAACTACTTCTACCAGGGGTGCTAAGGTGCAGCTGAGTGTGTGTTTGTAAGACACCTCCCTTGCTCTGCTCACACTAAATGTTTTATCTATGAAACTTGCAATAATAGCCAGAGCTTCAGTGGAGGAGCAGCAGTTTCCTTTTGAAGTTCTGTCAGGGAAATGCTTCCAGCCTTGAGGCCTTTGTCTCAGACTTTCCAGCATGAGCTAATATCCAGCTTATTCTCCAATATTATGTAGGATGTGGTTTTTTTCATTGCTGGGGTGGGGCTTTTCTGGCTGTTGGCTTTTTTGTTTTGGCCTATGTAGTTCACTCTGGAATCTCAGCCAGTCATGGCTGCTTATGATGTGGGAATTCCTTGGGACTGATTTGTTTTGCGTGATGAGTTGCCTTCTCAGGATGAGGATTAGAAGGAGCCACCTGTAACAAGCACCTCTGAGTAGAAACGTGTCTCTCAATTGGGCTGGAAGTCTGCAAGTAGTCTCAAGAGCTGTGGTGCTCCTGAGAAGTTCAGCTCACTTTCTGGTTGTCAGGATTTCCCTTTGAAGTTTTTTTTCCCCTTTCAGTTAGTCTTAGAGGGCTTTGTTTGTTTGTTTTTAAGGGATGCCATTAACTTACTGATAACTACGTTTTTGTTTCTGAGCCTTGGGTGTGTGAGCTAAGATAGTCCTTATTCCCTGCCTGGGAATTTCTTGGTTGGACCTGCTGGCTGTGCAGGCTTACAGCGCTTTCAGTTCTTCTCCCTCTTGGCACTGTTTGACTATTCATTGCATATTTATTTTCTCTCCTCGTTTACAGGAGGAACCGGTCCCACGTCTGATACTGGCTGGGGCTGTATGTTGCGGTGTGGCCAGATGATCTTTGCTCAGGCCTTGGTCTGCAGGCACTTGGGCAGAGGTAAGACAGCACACAGCCCCTACGGACTCCCAGGGCCACGTGCCTCGCACAAGTGCAGTAACTTGTAAGGCCAGCAGATGACTCAGCTGGGGATTGCTGAGGTCTCTGTGCCTTTTTCTTCAGTCTTCTCAAGTTCAGAGCTGTTGAGAGAAAAGTCTGCTGCAAACCCAGAAGGTTTTTCCCTGCTGCCTGCAACTCTACGTATAGTCGTCCAAGCCTTAAAACAAAGCAGAGCCCTGTAACATGCTGTTTAAATCCACTGAGGCCAAACATGTTCTAGGTTTTTCTTCAAGGGTTTTTTTTATACAGCTGAAGTTTAAAACAACTTTGTAGATTTATTCTTGTTTATAGTTCTGTTTAGTCACAAAGCCCACACTGAGAGGAGTCTCCTCTCCCTGAATGGTCCTGTTCTTGTGCTTGACCCGTGCTTGGTCTGTAAGCAGCTATGCTGGAGTGGTTTTTTGACAGTTGTTGATGGCCTTTGACTTTGTGGGGGATTATTTTTGGAGTGAGGTTGTTAAAGGAGAAGCTGCTGCCCAAGGAGTCACACGCACACCACCCAAGTCTTCAACTGCCAGGACCAGGGTCCCTTCACAGTGGGCACCCCTGTGAGCCGATGGGTGCCCCTTTCCACTCCTCTCACACACCCCCACACTCTTACTCTTGTGCTGCTCTCTCCTGCTTCAGACTCAACCCTGGGTTCCCCGCTGCAGAGTCTCAGGCATCAGATTTTATAAAAATAAGTAATTTAATTGAAAGCAATAAGCTTTCAGCAGCAAGGTCAGCCTGGGCTGGGTGCCTCAGATATGGGAGGGACCTCGAACAAAGAAATCCCTGGGCCATTGTACCCTTGCCATCTCTACACCTGCCCCTCGCACGTTGTTCACGTGTCTGTTAGTCCAATGGGGATTTTTGGTCTGGGGTCTTCTGACATCCCATTGGATTCTTTTTCTGTGCTCAGGCCGGTGGCCTCTGACTGCTCTTGTCTTGTTGATGTGCAGTCTCTGCTGAGGGTTGTAGCCTCCTCCTTATCTTCTGGTTTATGCTTCTTGTGCGCCTGGGCTCACTGGCAGAACGTGGGGAACTGAAAAGTTCCAGACTTAAGGAAAAGACTACCCAAACATCAGTGTGTTATTGACATTTTTCTTACACTAAAAGACTAAACACAACACTGTACCAGCTGCTAGGAAAATTACCATGAAAATGAACTCTATTGTGACCTAAAGGCTCCAGCAAATCTAGCTACTCATGCTAAGTAAAGCTAAGCAAACAGTAGAAATCACACCATATTATAATCCTAAATAAATTACTCTAATTAAAACTTTTTATTTAAGCAAAACAACTAATATCTTTCAACAGAGGTCACCTGTTTTTTTTTTTTCCCCAGAATATGTAGCTCACACCTGTCAATGAGAAATTGTAAAGCTATTTTCCATCAGGGGACTAGAGGTGCCCTGTTTTTTGTGATTTTTTGTTTGTTTGTTTAGTTGCTTTTCTGTGGGTGATATTCCTTTATCCCAGCTGTGAGAATGCTTACTTTTCTTTTAAAATTAATCCTTTAGCGTTGGGAATACCTCACATGCCTAGTAATAAGATAGCAACATGAAAATCAGGTCAGTTGATTGATGCACATGGAAGAGAATTGTAGCTCTTGGCTGCTAATAAATATTGTGTTACATTTCATATATTCTCTTCTCTCTTAGACTGGAGGTGGATGAAAGGGAAGAGGCAGATGGATAATTACTTCAATGTTCTTAATGCCTTCATTGACAAAAAAGACAGCTACTACTCCATTCACCAGATAGGTAAGAGTCTGGGTGCTGAAGAGTGTGGAGATACTCAGTCTGGGTTTCCCATAAAGGTCAAACACCACTATGTGTTTGTTTTACTATCTTAGCTAAAAAAAAAACAACCCAACAAGTAATTTGGGTAGTACATGATACTATGCTGCTTGTTTTCTGACCTGATGTAAAGCTGCCACTCGTTATTATGGATTATGACAGACTTTTCTTCTTGTTTTCATTAAAACCATCAGGTTTGCCTAATGCTTTAGGTTATATTCATCATCATTTTCCATATCCTAACTAGCTAAGGTGAGGGTAACGAGTGTGGTTCCTGTTCTCAGTAGGACCTTGTAATATGAGAATATTGTTGAACAAAGACATTCTCAGTAGCAAATGGACTAAAGAAGGATCTCACTTTGATATAAACTTCCCTGGCAAATAAAAGAGAAGCAGCCTGTTCTGGTTTTTCCTACAGGGTGTTAAGGAACCTATAGCTTTGGTTAACAGAACTGCAGATTACAGGGGTGGTCCTGGTAATCAAACACTCTTAAGTAAAATTTCTTCTGAAGTAACATTAGTAGAATCATAGAATGGTTCGGGTTGGAAGGGACCTTAAAAGACCATCCAGTGCCACCCCCCTGCCCTGGGCAGAGACACCTCCCACCAGACCAGGTTGCTCCAAGCCCCCTCCAACGTGGCCATGAACCCCTCCAGGGATGGGGCAGCCACAGCTTCTCTGGGTGATTGCATTTTGAACTTCTGCATTACTGCCTTTTGGGGAAAGGATTTACAGTCCTTGAGGATATGCTTCTCTCTCCCATCTACACTAAGATACCTTGTGAAAGGGTAGATTCTGCTGAGTCAAAAATGTTTCCAAGTGGGATTTCTTCCCTATTAAATACAAAGTCTGATTAGGAAGGGATGCAGTGTAGGTGAAATTATTTGCTAAATTATTTTGTTCTTTTCTTGTGATGCAGCCCAGATGGGAGTTGGAGAGGGAAAATCCATAGGTCAGTGGTATGGACCAAACACAGTTGCACAAGTGCTCAAGTAAGTGCTGCATTTTTCCTTTGTATCTTTTGAACCATGCAGTGGGGTCATTTGGTTTGTAATACCTCCTAGTGTGCAGGTTTCTGCCCATTGACTGAAGCACAGCTCTATCTTTCAATGCAGTTAGCAGGCAACCTGCTTGACCTTATTGAACTGCTTGGGCAGGACCTTGAAAGGAGCCCTTCTGTCATTCAGATGCTGGCAGGACGTGAGAGAAAACAGGTTTCAGGTGGAGGACAATGCCCAAAAATGCCCATGAGTAACGTGCTTGCCACTAGCACTGAGTACAGTACTCTGCAGCAGACCAGAAGCAAGGGTCAGAGCAGAGGGTCCTTGCTGTCCTTTGGATCTGTGCAAGCCTCCGAGTTGCCTCTGCTGACCTGACAACAGCATCATTGTTATCAAAAAGCTGCCAGCGAGCCATCAAGTCACTAATGAGTTAGTATGAAAGCATTAATATTTGCTGCCTGGGTCCCATGGTGACAGGCAGAGGATCAGAGTGGTGCTGGAGCATGGGCTGCCTTTAATAACTGGGACACACTGTGTTTAGAGGAACGTTCTCCTTCCTGTCATCATTGTTTCCTCACTTTGATTAGGTGAGCAAGGAGCTCCTTAGAATACTCTAGGATTGCCTAAAAGCAGCTTTCCCAGATCATACCCTATGCTGAATTAGCCCAGGATCTGGTATAGGTGATCAGGAGATACTGTAGGGAAAGTAAAGGCAATATTTTAGGGCTTTAATTTCATTTATTATTATTTACTTTTTGTGCTGTCTCACTTTCTGGTAACCAGAATCTATGGGATTTGAGTTGGAGATTGTTATCAGGGCTCTTGTACTTAGTGGCTGCCGAAGGACAAATTCCCAGGTGTGGTCCCATTGGCAATCTGGACATAATAACTAGTGGCAACAGAGTTTACAACTGTGATACTTGTATAAAAACATACGTCACAGCATAATTGATGAAAGCCAGTCTCTCCTAATCCAGGTTCTCCTCTTCGGTACACCACCATCTTTGTCTCATAGTTGTAACTAATCCTTGCTTACTTTTTTTTTTTTTTTAATTTCCTATAGAAAACTTGCAACTTTTGATACATGGAGTTCACTGGCAGTCCATATAGCCATGGACAACACAGTAGTGATGGAAGAAATCCGTAAGTATCATGGGGAGGTAGAATGTGATACATCCTCTGGCAGCATGAAGCCAGAAAAAAAACTGGAGAGCGTATAGTGGTACAACACAACAAACATGAAGTAAATGTTTTGGTTTAAAGTTGTGTCCCAGTGTGCTAAAACCAGATACAAATTGCTCTTCTAGGGCAAGGAAGTCCCTTGTTTGACTTTTGCTTCATCTAATAAAGCCTTTGACTTGGCACTGTGGGCACTGGATCTGGACAGAAGGTCCACTGACCTTCATACAGTAGGTAGGAGCTGCCTGGGTGGTGGTGTCAAACTCACTTATGGCCACAGGTAGGAAGCAGTAAAGGCTGCTTCCTCACTCATATAATGGGGTAGGAATGTCTCTGCTGTTAGGCACAGTAGGAAAACTGGAACAGATCACTGAAGAGGAAAATGAACAAAATTAGAGGGGGTGAGGAGCGGAGAGAAGGGAATCTATGTCTGGGGTAGATCTCTCATCTTTTAAGGAGTCCTCACTGGTTATTTCTTCTTTTGTTTTTTTTTTTCTTTTTTTTTTCTTTTTCTGTTTTTTTGGTGCATCCTGACAGCAGGATGGCTCTGGTGGCTGAGCAGCTGTGCAGTGTGTTGGTCCCTAGTGTGCTCCCTCGGGCTGCAGTAACCAACGCGGAATGAACGCTGGCATTGCCGGTTGCTGCAGTCCCGCCAGGTCCTGGCCACACAAGCCTTCCCCTCCCTTGCTGTAGGCTATCTCAGGAGGCAGTGTGCTCACACAGCACAAACCCACGCCGTGGTTCCTGCTGGGTCCGTGTTGGAAACGGCACCTAGAACAGTCCAGGGAGCGCTGAAGCTGGTGCAAGGTTACAGGTGAGATTGTGGCATTTAGGCTGGCTTCGGCTGCCACACAGCCAAAAATCAATTAACAGGCAATTTGCCACTAAAGTGCAGGACAGGCACTTCACAAAGTCGCATCTCTTACCAGGTAGTCTCAATTGAGAGACCAAATATCATGGTTTCGGCCAAATTTATCAAAATCAGACTGACAGATGCTCCCCCTCCCCTCCTCCCCCCCCGCCAAAGAGAGGAGAGAAAGAGATAAGGAGATTTAGAAGTCTAGAGTGAACTAAACTACTTTAGTGAAGAAATTTAATATTAAAATCAAAAAGAAGAAAATAATAAAATAGATACAATATATACAAAACTGTATCAAGCTCCCAGGCTGAGGTCACCAGCAGGCACTGGGGAAGTTCCAGACTGGACTCAGCGACGGTTGGGAACTGGGTTCCAGCTCTGGAGTCAGGAACACACGGATCAGGATCAAAGGCAGATGAACAGACAGGGTCCTCTTCAGACATTGGCCATTGAAGAAAGAGAGTAGACCTTTTGATCCCTCAGCTTTTATACTGAGCATGGGGCAGATGGGATGGAATACCCCGGTTGGTCAGGTTTGGGTCACCTCTCCTGTCCCCTCCTCCCCACAGATGTGACCCCTCTACGCTTTTTCGTTTCTGACCCTTTAACGGGGCAAATACTGAAATTGGCTTATCTTGGTTGTTACAGCAATAAGTATAAGCAAGAGCCTCTCTGCCCACCATTCCTTGGCATGGAGCACAGACATTGGTCTTATCACTCTGAGAACAAGCAGTTCTCTCCCTAATATGCCATTAATTTCAGAGAGTTAGAAGAGGCCTGGCTAAGATGTAAAATTGCGGAACAGAATCTTGGTTCTGTTTTATTTCAAACCAGGACACCAGGAAGTGTAGGATCTGATTGAGAAGTGCCTGTCTAACCTTAGGTACACATAGTCCTGTGAAGGTATGTGCTGATGCCCTTGGCTTAAATGTGAAGGGCCAGTGTGGAGACAGAAATTGGATTTATCTTTCATCTTTAGCCTGAAAACCTTATTTCTAGAACTGAAGCAGCTGGCTGCGAGGCTTGAATGCATTGCAGGCTCTCGTCTGTGTGGCTGGTGTTCAGTGCTGACACCGCTTCCAGTGGTGTGTCTGTGTGGCTGGTAAGGTGTGGGGGTGTTCATTTATCTTCCTCAAATGTGAACCGTGATGGCCTGTCGAGGGCCCGAGGGTCGCTGTGTGAGTGGTCCCGTGTGTTACAGAACACCCATCTACAGACATGCATCTTGTGCCGCAAATGTGTGTGGGCAGTGAAGCGTTCAGGAGGTAACGCTGTTCCACACGTGTGTGAAGTTTGGTCACTGGTGCTGTTCAGCATAAGGTACGTAGGAAATACCTTTTGCTCCAGCAGTGAAGAAAACATCCGTCTTTATCCCTTCTCAGTCGGTCTGTTGTATGAGAAAGGGGCTCTTAGGTGCATGTTGGAGGATCCTGTGCATCAGAAAGGTGGTGAGAAACCAAGACAGTAAAGCCAGTACCCGACAGCGGCCGCAGCAGGTGAGATGTTGGATCAAATCCATTGGAGTGTGTTTGTAGTAGATGGTTTGGATGCAGCTGGGAGGCTTTAGGCAGGTTCTGCTGTGCTGGGGCACCGTAGTGCTGCAAAGCCCAACGAAGAGGCCGGGTGAGTTTAGTCTTTGCCGAGGTCCCCGCTGCTGGAACCGGGGTCAGACCTGCTGGTGTTGCAGCGATGGATTGCCAGCTGCTCTGCCCGAGGAGCTGCAGTGAGACCCCGTGCAGCAACAGCCCTGGCTTGGCAGCTGATTTCACATCATCAGGACAGGCCACTGCCAACAAAAAACCCCCGTGATCTTTACTGTTTTAGCAGGATAAATCACTAGGAATAATGATGTTCAATTTTCTCAGGACCTCTGGTCACTATAATGTGTCTGTCTGTGAGAGATGCACTCCAATACCTTCTCCCTCCTCGAGGGACTGTATAGGGGTCACCTGCAAACTCTTTAACACAGGTTGCCTCTCACCCCAAAGCTTTAGATCAAAGTCTCTTCTCTTCTACCTTGGTGGAACGTTCTCTTTGTTCAGCTGGGGGTGAAGCTCTTGGCAGTGAGCAAACACCCTGTTGAAATTGCTGGTGATGAAGGTGTTTGTTTACATCGTGTCTACCTGCTGGAGTGTCCTGGCATTCAGCTTAGGCCAGGAATAAATTAAATGAGCCTCTGGCATTTTGTTTAATTGCCTTGGCTTCATGATTAAAGTGCTGTGGGTTTCTTTTCGGTTTGGGTTTTTTCTTCACACACCCAGTAAATAATGGAATATGGCCAGTGAGACAGGTAGGCTTGGAGGTGTTTCTGTACCGGAATTCAGGTCCTCTGGTTGTGTTACAGCCTGGCTGGCTGGCTGTGTAGAAGGAGGATGCGTAGCGCTCACCGCATGCCTGTGCCCCGAGGAGCTTTCCTGCCCCACAGCTTACAGGCAAAGGCTCCTGCTGAAATCCCAGAGTGTAATGCCCATCCTGCTGTAGGTCTCTAAAGTAGCTTCTGAATGATCCCTGATAAAATTTCCGAAGGCTTTAGTGAACTTTATGAAAATTACAACTACTGTAGACACTGTGTTTGTATCTTGTTACAGCACTAATTACGGGTGAATATTTCCTCTGTTAAGCCATAACGCTTTCCTCATTCGGTTCAACTGTCTTCATCTCCTCCATGAACTCCTCTGGAGTTGAACACTCCGCGTTTTTCTCTTTCTGCCTACATGCTGTCTGAATTCAGGACTCTTTCCTGACCTCCTCCTCAACTTCTTTAACCTTGTTGGCCCAGGTTGTTGCTTAGCTGCTCACCCGCTGGGAGAATTTGCATTTTAACAGCCCTCCAGATGGTGGCTGTGAGGACAGCATGCTTTGGCATAATCTTGGTGTAAGCTTAGATGAAACCCGGAGCCCTACCAGAAGCCCTGCAGGGAGTACGTACACCCCACCATCCAGCGCTGGACCTCCTTAAGCTTTTCTCTCTTTTTTTTTTTTTTTTTTAAAGTTTTGTATGTGCTCAGCCATCTTATTCGCAGCATTTTATTAATTGAAACAAGGAGTTTTGTGCCCACTCTGGTAAATCCAAAGTGACTGGGAACTTTTGTGTTCAGAACCATTTTAGTGGTAACGTAATGGTAGGAGATCCTAAAGGATATTACGGATTTTGTGGTACTGAATGTTCAGCCAAAATCTAACACGGTAGGCATTTAATAAATAGCAATTGTTGATCAGATAGAATTACTCCAGGTCTAGAAACGGAGGTTATTTCTGACGCTTTCTGCTCCTGTTCCCTTTGTGTAGGGCGGCTGTGCCAGTCCAACTTGGCGTGCGCTGGAGCTGCAGCGTGCCCGGCCGCGGAGCCAGACGTGCTCTATAACGGGTACCCAGAGGACGCGGGGGTCAGAGACAGGTTCTCACTGTGGAAGCCATTGGTGCTGCTGATACCTCTCCGCCTCGGGCTCACAGAGATCAACGAAGCCTATATTGAAACACTAAAGGTAGGGGACGTGGAGATGAATTCTTGGCGTTCTCATGCTTAAGGAGCCTGTTGAGAATTAAGTCATTTCTGGAATTTGGTTCTGGGGCAAAAATACTCAGAAATAATTGTCCTGTTTTCAAAAGAAAAATGCGTTGAGACAATCCTTGTCAGAGGTGAGGATGTGTGTTCTTGCAGGCTTTAGTCAGGAAAATGCGTAGGGCTTTGGGGGGTTGTGTTTTTTGGTGTTTGGGTTTGGTTTTTTTTAAGGATCTAACTTCACAACTTAATCTGAGTCCCTCTTTGTGTTTAGATGGTACCAACCTGCTGAAGCATTTGTTCAGCACAGCTGTGCTGTGCTTGGTGGCAACCTGAGCATTAACAAACGTAGTGTTGCAAACTCCCTGTGGCTCTGATGCTGGAGCTTACACTGCAGGCTGAGGCTGCAACTCAGCTGATGGTTGCGGTGTGCAGTATCAGAATTCAGGGTGTGCAGAGTACAGGCACGAGGCAGGGTACGCATGTACTAATGCTGGCAAGCTCTGAGCTTGCACAGGTAAGAGAGCTCCAAATTCATGTGAGGTTACTTGCCCTTAACTCAGTAGATGGTGCCTGGATACTGCAGCTGGATAAGGAACTTAAGCTGTTTCCCAAATGATCATTCCCTGCTGAGAGCACTCTTGCAACCTGATGGCAGCTTCAGAGTATCTTGCCACTGACAGCAGCAAAGCCAGGCTGAGTCCTGGAGTAATGCTGCTGCTTCTGTTTGGTCCGTCTGTCTGTTCCTGTCCAGTTAAAGGTGGTTTTGAGCTGCTTCTGTGTTACTTGAAAGCCCTGTGTTGCAGCCTTCAGCCTTCCTGGCAGAGCTTCTCTCCAGAAATGGCTGATTCTGCTGAATTTCAGTGTCTCCATCTTTCTTTCCCACTGCATTTTTGGATGTTTGCCTTTGTTGCCACTTGCTGTCTCACTGTCTGTCAGCTGTGTGTTTTCTGTATTGCTTTTCCAGCACTGCTTCATGATGCCCCAGTCCCTGGGAGTGATCGGAGGGAAACCAAACAGTGCTCACTACTTCATTGGCTATGTAGGTGAGTGCCCAGAGTACTGCAAAGACTTTCCAAGCATCTCCCCCCAGCTAAAAAATGCTTGAGGAGCTGTACAGCTGCTTGGTCTGTGGTGCGTGCTGCAGGGTTCCTCTTTCCTGCTGGAAGTGTGGAAGGTTGCTGGGGACTGAAGATCTTTGTGAGGGCCTGAGTGATGCAGCTTTGAATGGTAGCTGTGGTACAGGCTGTGAACATCCTCTGCATAACCCTAAATCCTGTCTAAATCCTAAATCTCTAAAGAGGTGTGCACAGAGGCCGCCTCCTAGGTTCAGAGTTCACCGTTCTTCAGGGGCTTGGCTGGATTTAACTGTCCTTTAGTTGTCCCCTTCCTGAAACTCTACAAACTGTGGTCTGTTTGCTCTCTTCCTTCCCTCTGATTTTCTTTCTCTGCCCAAGACCTCAATCTGGTTGTGCTTTGGATTTCTGGGGCCAACTTCAGCTTGCACAGGACCCTGAAAGGCATGTGCAGGAACAGCATCCAAATAGTGGCTGTTGCTGTGGAGCAGGCGCTGTGGCTCTGCTGGCAGCTGGCTCTTTGCCTCATGAGAAGCATTTGGGGAAGTGGCTGAAAGCAAGTTGTCCCTAGAGCATGGGTTCCTCTTTGGGATTACGAGAGCTGGCTCTGTCATCGCTCTTCCTCCTTTTTCTCTCTCACCCTTTGCTTCTGAGAAATCCAGCTCTTGGGAACAGTTCTTCCTGTTGATGTCTCCTTGCCCGTCTGTGCAGGTGAGGAGCTCATTTACCTGGATCCGCACACTACGCAGCCCGCAGTGGAGCCCAACGACAGCGGCTGTCTCCCTGACGAGAGCTTCCACTGCCAGCACCCTCCCTGCAGAATGAGCATTGCCGAGCTCGACCCCTCCATCGCGGTGGTGCGTTCCTGCCGCTCGTTCCCCGTCACCCGGAGGACCGGTGTTGTGGTCCCTTGGTTTCACGGTTGTCTCTTTCCCTAGGGAAGGGGCAAGGGCAGTGGTGGTGGGATGGGTGCTCTGCAGGCACGCTGTGCTCCGGGCAAGGGCTGCTGTGGCTTTCAGTACCATTGGTACAGGAGCTCCTGGTGTAGGAAGGACCTTACTAATGCCTACAAGTATCTCAAGGGCGGGCTGAGGGAGGAGGGAACCAGACTCTTTTCAGTAGTTGCCAGTGAGAGGACAAGGGGCAATGGGCACAAGTTGGAACATAAAGGGTTCCACTTGAATATGAGGAAGAACTTTTTCATGGTGAGGGTGACAGAGCCCTGGGACAGGCTGCCCAGGGAGGGTGTGGAGTCCCCTTCTTTGGAGATTTTCAAGACCCGCCTGGATGCTCCTGAGTAACATGCTCTGACAAGCTCTGGGTGGCCCTGCTTCAGCAGGGGAGTTGGACTAGATGATCTCTATGGTCCCTTCCAACTCTGAAAATTCAGTGAAGCAGTTCGGTACAGGGACATCCCCCTTGCATGGCCATTAAATGCCATTCTTCATGGGGCGGTGTCCTTCTCTCCGGTTTAGTTTGGGCTTTGATTCCTGCCTTTTGATGGATCCATTCCTGAATCCATATTGCAATTCAGAGTGGCTTGTTTCTAGTTGAACCTGAGGCGCCTGCCCTTTGTTTCCACGTGGGTTGTTTCTGCCCAGTTTTCCTTCTGCAATAGAGCAGAGCATTACATCGGTGCTTCCAGCGCTTGGAGAGTCTGGTCGCATCAAGCGCGTGGGGAGCGTTCAGGTGAATGGGGCAGCATAAGCCAGTTCAAAGGCAAGGCAGCTGGGTGGTGTGACTGCTCGCAGGCTGGTTCTGTTCCTCAGCATTAATGCAAGGCTTTAAGACTGAAATGATCAATCAACAATATATAAAGATAAGTTCTTTTTTTTTTTTTACAGGGCTTTTTCTGCAACACAGAGGAGGACTTTAACGATTGGTGCCAGCAAATCAAAAAGGTTTGTGTTCCTATCACCAGGAAAGGGATATAAGGTATTGCCTTGTTACAAACCACTGCACAGAGAGCATGTTCTCTGCAGCGTGATCCCATTTTAAAGCGCATGAAAATAGTTTATTAAAATACCAAAAAGAGCATAGCTCTGAAATTGTGCTGATGATGGGAGTCAAAGATTTGATAAACATTTTTTAAGCTGCGACGAAGTCTCTCCCTTAAAGACCTAGAGCACCGGGAGTACGGAGAATTGTTGGTTCTCATGGCTCTGCTCTTGCTCCACAGCTGTCCCTGGTGAGAGGAGCGCTGCCAATGTTCGAGCTGGTCGAACGCCAGCCCTCGCATTTCTCCAACCCTGACATCCTCAATCTTACACCAGGTGAGGCTGCACAGGGCAGGTAGAGCTACGGGTGAGCCCGTCCCTTTGGTTTTCTGGAAATTGCTTGGGATTGCACAGAGACTTCTAGCACATTCCTGTTCTGCTGGGAGTTTGATGTGGAGCTTTTAGGTCAATTCATCTAGTTCTTTGGCCTTCGACTAGTGGTTCACAGATCCCGCAGTGCCTCAGGGTGGTTTTTAGAAGGAGTCTGTGGATGGTGGTGGTGACTGAGGGGAAGATAAACCGGTTTGTAGGCTATCGTCACAGCAGTGTGGATCTCTGACTCCTAAAAGGATGCTTGGAGGGATCAAAAGGGTCCATTGAAAATGAGTTTCTAAGTAATGAAAATGGTCAAAGACAGGGCTGGTCAAACTCTGTTCCAGTGTAAGGCACTCCTTCCCTCTGCATGTGCCAATGCAAAAAGGAACAAGTGCTGGGCAGTATCTTGGCTGTCAGGCTCTGCTTATCATGTTAATAACGTGCACAAACATTGCAGGAGATAAAGAGCCATTGACAGCTGCTGCCAAGAGCAGTGAGTGTGCAGGGACAAACTTATCCTGCCACCAGCCACTGGACTGTGTCCTGTCACTTGAATCCTGCACCTTGTCCTTCCTTGCTATCTCTCTCTCTCTCTCTCTCTCTCCCTTAGCATGAACTTTCAAAGCCTTCCTTGTCTCACTGCCCTTTTCTGTAAGAATGCTTGATTCCCTTAAACTATCAATTGATCTTTGCTTGTATTAAATTGTCCCTAATTGCTGCCTTTCTTACTCTTAAAAATGTTTTTGTAATGGGCTTCTTGTCCTTCTCCCTCTTCCCTAGCGTGCAGAGCCTGTCCTGCCTGCTGTGGCCATTCTGGTTCTCTTGCAGCCCTGCCCCTCACTAGAAGCATTAATCATACTCTCACCAATCACTGTCCAGCCCCTTGTTTTTTATTTTGCCCAGATATGTGGGTTTTCTGCTGCATTCCTGAAGTGAGGGGGGCGGTTCCTCTGAGGAGCACCTCTGGGAGCTGTGCTGCCAGGACCCACAGACCCACAGTTTGATCAAGAACAACCACACTAGGCATTTGCACACACAACTCTGGGATGAAAGCCTGTCACAAAATGTTCAGGGGGGGTGCAGCCTTGTGTCTATACGCTTCTCCTCTGTCCCCAGCCATCAGTTAGCCCTGTTTAGCTTTTGGCTGGTTGTTCTGCCAAGTCAAGTGTGTGCTTCCTTGAAGCCTGAGTTAAGGTAGGTTTCTCCTTTACTTCTCCAGTTTGCCCATGTGTTCTCACCTGAATTTCCCCTATGGTAAAATTGCTTCCCTTTTAGGTATTGCTTCCCTTTTAGGTATGTGCACAGAGTTGGAAGAGTTGGACAGGGAGCGGTCAAGTACGTTACCTTTCCTCACAAAATAGACCATAGTAATTGCTTTTGGGAGAGTGCATGTTGTGCAATTACATTCCCCAGTAGCTGGATCAAAGGCAACTATAGCAGAAAACAGGTCTAATACATGGCAGGGGTGGGGAAATGTTCCCCTATCACTTAATTGGGCCAGAAAACTTCAGGAATATTAGTCCAGACCTGGGTCATTTCTCCTATTTTAAGCCTCCTGAGGCAGAACTGTCTTCTGCTCTCCCCAGTTGCTGCAGGGGAAGGTTGTACAAACCAGTCACAGCACAGAGTTGCTCTCACCAGGGCTGTGTGAAGAAAAGGACCTGGGGGTGTTGGTAGACAGCAGGCTTAACATGAGCCAGCAGTGTGCCCAGGTGGCCAAGAGGGCCAATGGCATCCTGGCTCGTATCAAGAATAGTGTGGCCAGCAGGAGTAGGGAAGTCATCGTGCCTCTGTGGCACTGGTGAGGCCTCACCTCGAGTACTGTGTCCAGTTTTGGGCCCCTCACTACAGGAAAGACATTGAAGTGCTGGAGCGTGTCCAGAGGAGAGCCACCAAGCTGGGGAGGGGTCTGGAGAACAAGTCCTATGAGGAGAGGCTGAGGGAACTGGGCATGTTTAGCTTGGAGAAGAGGAGGCTGAGGGGAGACCTCATTGCCCTCTACAACTACCTGAAAGGAGGTTGTAGAGAGGCAGGTGTTGGCCTCTTCTCCCAAAGGACGAACGACAAGACCAGAGGAAATGGTCTGAAGTTGGGGCAGGGGAGATTTAGATTAGATATTAGAAAGAATTACTTTCCTGAGAGGGTGGTCAGGCCCTGGAACAGCCTGCCCAGGGAGGTGGTGGAGTCACCATCCCTGGAGCTATTTAAGAAACGTATAGACATGGCTCTTCAGGGCATGCTCTAGTGCCCAAGGTTATTGGTTTATGGTGAGGTGTTGAGTGTGGGGTTTAGTTGGTGGGTGCGGTGTTTTTGGTGGGCGTTTGGTGTGGTGTGTTTTGTATTTGTTTGGTTGTGTGTTTGTTGTTTTTTTTGTTGTTGTTTTTGTTTTTTGTTTTTTTTTTGTGGTTGGACTCGATGATCTCAGAGGTCCCTTCCAACCACTAAGATTCTGTGATTCTGTGTCCGGGCTCTGGGAAGCACGGCACACCACCTGCGCACCGCATCCTTCTCTCCGGTGCATTTTCTGTGCTACTGCTGTGTTCTGTTTTTCATCCCTCCTCAGGGCCTTCACTCAGGTGTGTCACGGAGTCTCTTGGAAGCTGTGGGCCCACGACACTCCAGCTGTGCTGGTCCCGCTGACGCTGAGCGGTCAGTGCGTCCCACGGAGGTCGTGCTTTCTCTTTCTCTTGCAGACTCCTCCGACGCTGACAGATTGGAAAGGTTCTTTGACTCGGAAGATGAAGACTTCGAAATCCTATCCCTTTGAAAACGAATAAGAAACTGACTTTGCAAATTTGTGTTATGTGTGGGGAGAAGGGGGGGAGGGAAGCTCCTTCGAGAGCCTGGGGCTACCGGTTTTCATAGGTGCTTGCTGCCATCCCCGCCTCTTGTCCATCCTGGCCTTCTGTGCAGCCTCTGAGCGAGCGGAGCGTGCATTGTCTGCCTTGGGATGAAGAACCAAGTGGGTGCTACAGCCTTACTGGCTGGAGTCAGGATTTCTCAGCAGAAAACAGCGGCTGGAAGCGGATGCAGTGGTGCTTGGGAGCTCAAAGCCTGTCGGTCACAGCAGCAGGTCAGTTGGCCTTCTGGGGGAGGCATAGAAATCGTTAGAGCGCTCAATCCTTACGTGGGGACTCCCCTCTGAAGCTTAAATAGACCCACCCCTCATTTAGCAGGTGAAATGTACAGTTAATTCCTTTAGCAGCTTCTCTTCTCACTGGCCAACTTGGACTGCAGCTCACAAGGCCAGCCAACAGCAGACAAGTCCCAAGGAGGCCGCTGTGAAGCCCTGGGAGCGCAGGTGGCCGGGCTTCCTGCAAGTACCACCCTGTCCATGCTCTGCAGCACCCAGCGCGTCCCCGCAGGCGCCGTGCCCGCTCCTGCTCACCCCCTGGGGAAAGGCAGCTGAGGGAACTTACAAGTGACTGGTAATTCAGTAAGCGAAAGGCTGTCCGGGACAGTGGAGCAGCCCCGTGCTGCTGGGGAGAACATCTCAATCTGTCTATGTAACAGCAGAAGGAATGGAAGGAGAACAGAAAATGGGTGTTTTCTTGCTCAGTGAGTCGATAAAGCATTGTGCTTCTACAAGGGATTAACCTCTACAGCAAACATCTTCAGGAAAGCTGCTTTGAGCAGAGAATGGGATTCCGCAGCCCTGGCGGGGGGGGGAAAAAAAGTCCAGAGCTGGGAGAGGCGAAAGGGGACAGCTGAGATCTGCCAGGCATGTGCCTGCTGCTGCCTGCGCCCCGGTGTGCTGGCACAGCATCTGTGGAATCAATCCTGCTGGTACCAAAAATATGAGCTATAAAAGTCCTCAAGGTGTTCTTGGTGGGTTGTTCAGCAGTTCCTCTAGTTACTCCTGTTAGACATTCCCTTTCCAAATAAGAAAAGGTGCCTGAAGGTCATGTAGGCTTCCCAGTGGCATCAGCACCTTTCGTCTTCTGCCAGCTCGCCCTCCCCACAGAACATGCACAAAGGTACCATAGGAGCCAGGCCAGAGAATTGTCCCAAAGGGGGCAGAAAAGACAGAATGCCTTGAGAAGGTCCAATTATACTGGAAATTTTAGCTACTTTAAGATGATGGCTCTGCTTAGGGCCCTTCTCCACGCAGAGTTCAGAGAAAGGTAAACCATGGAGGAGAGCTGTCTCAATGCAAACTGCAATAAAAGTTGCTGGAGTAGTTTCCCTAGTGCATGCTGCAGATCACAGACCTGTTTACAAGGCTTTGGTTTGTACGTGTAGGATTGGAACCTGTCAGTTGATGCTTTTATGCCCAAGGATGGTGACAGCTGGCTAGAAATGACCTCTCTTCCCCGTGACTGACCTACTGATTGATGCTCTAACTGTCCCTATGCTATCCAAAAGCAGAGGTTTAAACTGGGAACCACAATGCTTCTTTCACTAAATTATTATTTGCTGCTTTCTGCCTGCTTCTCCTCTTCTCTGTTGTAGTTAGGGGAAGAGGCAGCAGAGGAAGTGGGGCTGTGCTCCGTTCATCTGCTTTCAATTTGTATCTGAATAAACAGATCTAAAACCTTTGCCTGTCCTCAATGTTCTTGCACATGCACAGAGGGTGGTGGCGGGTGGTACCCAGTGACCCTGCGGTGCGGGTGGGAACGCTGCCAAAACCATTGCAGTTTTGACCCTGTTGGGGCAACGAAGGCAGGTGGGAGGCAAAGCTGAACGATGTGCAAGGGTGACTTTATCTCCCTCTTGGTGTACCCCATAGAACAGGCGCTGGCTGCTCGGGATTGCTGAGTTTGTGGTCCTGCCCCAGAGGGGGAGCATCTCTCTGCTTCTAAAACGTAAGCCCTTCCAAGACAGGATGTGCTTTTTTGGTGAGTCTCTGCCAGGTGTAGAGGGGAAAGAGCCAAGCAGAGGCTCAAAAGTTTTTGTGTTAGTAGGTGGAAAGTGCAATTTGTTTCCTTTAAGACTGTGCCTGCTGTGTAGCTGTTTAACTAATGGCTTTCCATAGCATGGCTTTCCAGCTCTGCAGCAGCAAGTGTTACAGAAGTAAATGTAGTCAATTCAATAACCCATTTTCATGTTTTGCCATGCAAGGGCAGGACACCGTGCTAGAATCGTAAGGCTGTACCCTCTGTTGCCATCAGCAGGTTCTTTCTGCTGAGAGCTACTCGCAGGGGACACGTTCCCTCCTGACGTGTATACGAGAAGAGTTAGTATTTATTTCATGCTTATGCTTTTATGGTTAAGGACAGCTCAACCAGACAAGATTCCACCTGAGTTAATGCAGCCCCAATAACAGAGCTGGGCTCAGCTTTCTTAGATCTTTAACAGGTATTTCTGGCTTTTTACTCAGGAGCCTAAAGCTATTATGAATTAAATGATTTTCTGTTTGTCTTCTTCCAGCGTTGCTGGCAGGGCCTGACTCAGGGTTACAATGGTCACCTCCTTCTCCAGGAGTGTTTCTGCCACTGAGTGCTGAGCAGCTGTAGAGCAAAGACAGCAGCTTTTTCCCTTTCGGCTCGTGCTTGCATTAGCAATTCTGTCTTAAACATTTACCTCCTTCTCCCTGCCACTGCCATCACTTCAAGCCGCCTCTCTCTGAGTTAGAGCAGGATTTAATCTCTGTTATCAGCCAGTCTGGAGATCAGTCCAGTCCCCACAGCTGGAAGGTGAGTTAACTGCCCAGCACGTAGAGATAGTAACTTTCCTGGTCATCCCCGTAGCTCAGTGCACCTTGCAGATGATTTAATATTCCAGTTTATTGTAGTTTGCTGGTCTTTACCAATGACTTGGATGAATTCATTGCTGATCTGGTTTGGCAGTCTGTGCTGGGCTGTTTAAATGGCACTGGTGCCTGTGTAGGAGTCACAGGTGACTATTGCTCTGATCTTGGCCAGAGGAGTAACTTGACCAGTCTAAAATAATTCACCCACCAAACTGGCCTTGCCATGAGCTAATACACCCATTTCAGACTCTTGCCTGCTCGTAGGAGTCCCATTTCTGCGTTGTTCTTGCTGGACAGCTGGGGAGCAGACTTGAATTCATCTCTCCCTTCATTCCACGGCTCTAGCAAATTGTTCCCCCCAGATTCAGTGCCTAAACAGCAGCACCTCCACCTCCCATGTATCCTCCTAGAAGTGATCATGCTGAGAATAAAGAAAAAAATGCCCTGTGCAAAATGGTTAAAAGAATTTATTCGCAACTCCTCTACAATCTGGTTTGGGCACAGGGGATGCATTTACTAGAGAGGCAGGAGACTCAGGAACAGGGCAGTTCCCTGAAACTGGGACCGCTGCTGCCTGCCTGTCCCTGCTGCCCGTGTCCGGGGGGGCTGGCACTGCAGGGCTGCAGCCAGAGCAAGAGGGAGCTTTCTAGAAGGAACTGGTTCCATGCTCATCGCACGTTCATGTATAAAACACAGCAGGGGCCATGCCGGATGCAGGGGAGGAGCATGTAAAATGACAAGGACATCAGCACCGTGCTGGACCCCTAAGAAAACCCGGGATCTAAGCTGTAGTTACTGGAAAGTGCTCTAGGAGAGTCACCCAAGCGAGGAAGATCCATCCAAAAGGTGAGTTTTCCTTTAGGTCTAAAAGAATAACAAAGGTTTATTTCCAGAGTTCTCCCAAAGGTTTATTCTGAACCTCTTGCATGGTTTCCTCTGCGACGGACTTGATGTCTCTGTGCAAGTCTTCTATGCTCTTTGAAGCATCCATTGTCTGTTTCCAAGAGAAAAAAATACAGAAACATGTTCCTTAATCACCACCACCAAGTGAGAAAAAGTCACTTCACTGTTGTATCTGCTCCCCACACTACTCACTATTGTTACTATTCATGAGCTAATTAAACCTGTACACTGTTTCTGGAGAGGAACTGGAAAAATCTGTTTTATTTAGGAATAAATTAAGAATAGATGTGGGGCTGGATGAAGGGAAGCAGGAGAAACTGCTGCTGTGTGGTGTTTGCTGAGAGTCTTTGGGGCAGGTAGATGTTCTTCATCCTGTCCTGTAGCGTCCCAGAAACATCAGTGTATTGATCCTTCGGTGGTTTTTCAAAATAAATTCCACCTGTGAGAGCAGGAGCCTCTAAAAATCTATTTAAAAAATCCATTAAAATCCACGTGATGGTCCATTTTCAGAGGGGTTAGGGTATTTTTAACCCCTGCAGTACAGGTGGTCGCGCTCTGTGATGCTGGTGTTCCTCAGGCTGAGGTTACAGAACAGCAGCATCGCCCCCGGGTGGCTGCAGCAGAATTAATTTAACAAAAATAAGCATGCTTTCACAGGAGGAAATATGGAACTCATGTATAGGCTGTAAATCCCAATTTTTTTTCCAGAGATTTTTGTAAAATTAACTCTTTTGGGGTTTTTTGTTATGGTCTGTGTTTTCTGTCACCCTGTTTTTTCATCATTGGGAGGTAGAGAAGGCATAATTTTTACTCGAATAAAAGGCCTCGTTTGGTGACTGTTGTACGTTTAGGTCCTTCAGGTTTTGAGAGTACACAAACCCCCTTCCATGCAACAGAGTCATATTTACAAAGAATTTAAGTTTACTTCACAGTATGACCACTTGGCAAATCTGTGTGTATCTCAGCTTCTGGTGACCTGTAATTTACCCGTAATCTCTGTCCTCCTGTGTCTGCTCTCTGTGAGAGCTACAGATCAAACAAGATGCTGCCCATGTCTCTCGCCTGAGCACTGACAGGGTGATGGAAATCTTAGAATCACAGAAAGATTGGACCTTACAAGACCACCCAGTCCCACCCCCTGCCCTGGGCAGGGACACCTCCCACCAGCCCAGGTTGCTCCAAGCCCCCTCCAACCTGGCCTTGAACCCCTCCAGGGATGGGGCAGCCACAGCTTCTCTGGGCACCCTGGGCCAGGCTCTCCCCACCCTCACACCAAACAAGTTCTTCCCCAGATCCCATCTCCATCTCCCCTCTTTCAGTGTCAAACCCTTCCCCCTCCTCCCATGACTCCCCTCCCTGATCCAGAGTCCCTCCCCATCTCTCCTGGAGCCCCTTGAGGGACTGGAAGGGGCTCTAAGGTCTCCCTGGAGCCTTCTCTTCTCCAGGCTGAACCCCCCAACTCTCTCAGCCCCCCCTCCCAGCAGAGGGGCTCCAGCCCTCCCAGCATCTCCAGGGCCTCCTCTGGCCCAGCTCCAACAGCTCCATGTCCTTCTGCTGTTGGTGGCCCCAGAGCTGGAGGCAGCACTGGGGGGGGGGTCTCCCCAGAGCGGAGCAGAGGGGCAGAATCCCCCCCTGGCCCTGCTGGCCACGGGGCTGGGGATGCAGCCCAGGGTGGGGGGGGCTTTCTGGGCTGCCAGCGCACATTGCTGGGGTGTGTGGAGCTTCTGAGCCACCAACACCCCCAAGTCCTTCTTCTCAGGGCTGCTCTTCAGCCATTCTCCACCCAGCCTGGATTTGTGCCTGGGGTTGCCACATCCCAGGTGCAGGATCCAGCACTTTGCTTGGTTGAATTTCATGAGATTTGCATAGGCCACCTCTCCAGGTCCCTCTGGATGCCATCCCTTCCCTCCAGTGTGTCAACTGCCCCACACAGCTTGGTGCCATCAGCAAACTTGCTGAGGGTGCACTCAATCCCACTGTCCGTGTCTTAACAAAGATGTTAAACAGCACTGGTCCCAGTACCGACCCCTGAGGGGTGCCACTCATCACCACTGGGACTTCGGGCCCTTGACCACAACTCTCTGAGTGTGAACCTCCAGCCAATTCCTTCTCCACCAAGTGGTCCATCTGTCAAACCCATGTCTCTCCAATGTAGAGGCCAGGATGCTGTGCAGGGCAGTGTCAAAGAGATGGTAAAAAGGATGCCCACGTTAGAAAACCTCGACCTAAGAAGGTGATCAACACCCAGGACAAATGGGGAACCCTTCCCCTCCTGGACGAGGCTGCTGCTGGTGCAGCCCCTGCCCATGGCTCTGAGGGATGAACAAGAAGGCGAAGCGATACAGCAGCACGGAACAACAAAGATCATGTACTTGGAGAGACTCCAGTAGCAGTAAGACAGCAAATGCTGGTGTGAACTGGCCCTGTGAGAAGGAAGGTGATCATCAATAAGGGAGACACAAGCTGCAGGATGACCCCAAAACTCTTCAGGGATTCCAGACTCCTTGGCAGAAGCTGCAAGACTCCAAGTGAGCAGAGGCAGGGACGAGCACTGTGTGTCCCACTGCTTCACCCAGCTTTGGCAGGTTGTCTTTCAGCAAGAGAATGATTTCCAGAAAGCACCTTTGCAAAAGCAACCAACCAAACAAAAACCTTCCCCTCACTCCAACAGGGCCCCATAGGGTGTCCTGGAACGGAGTACTGTCCTCTCTGCCACAGTGCCCTTGGCTGATGCCCAACATGTCCCCTGTCCCCCTGACCAGGAGCAGGAAAAGGGGGGACACAGGGATGCGATGGACACTGTCGTCAGACACCCCCACCCTGGCCCATGACAGGCCCGTTAGTCAGGGTTATTGCCTCACCTTCCAGTTTAATGTCTTGTCCTTCATCAGATGATAGAAGGACTGTAGAACTTTCTCTTGGAAGGAGCTGTTCTCGTAACGTTCATTTCCAAAGTTCCCTCGTTCCGCTGCTGCTTCCGGACTTAACTGAAGAAACAGGACCAGATCTGGCTTCGGGAGTCCAACGTCAGGCTGTTTGCACCAGTCCAGGCAGAAGTTCTGTCCCAAACAAAGACAACCGAGTTGGAGGTGAAAGACGGGAACGTGAAGAAGGGGAAGCAGCAAGTCAGCTGGAGAGCGGGGTGGGGAAGGAACAGAGAAGGGAGGGGAATGAGGCCCGAAACTCCAAACTGAACGGGCAATCATAGAGTCATAGAATCATTCAGGTTGGAAGAGACCCTTGGGATCATCGAGTCCAACCATCTCCCCTACTCTACAAAGTCCTCCCCTACACCATATCCCTCAACACCACATCTAAACGTCCCTTAAACACAGCCAGGGATGGTGACTCCCCCCCCTCCCTGGGCAGCCTGTTCCAATGCCCGACCACTCTTTCAGTGAAAAATTCCTTCCTCATGTTCAGTCTAAACCTCCCCTGTTGGAGCTTGAAGCCGTTCCCTCTCGTTCTATTGTTAATTACCTGTGAGAAGAGACCAGCACCAACCTCTCTACAGTGTCCTTTCAAGTAGTTGTAGAGAGTGATGAGGTCTCCCCTCAGCCTCCTCTTCCTCATACTAAACAGTCCCAGCTCCTTCAGCCACTCTTCATGTGATTTGTCTTCCAGGCCCTTCACTAGTTTCGTTGCCTCCTCTGCACTCGCTCCAGCACCTCCAGATCTCTCTTGGATTGAGGTGCCCAGAACTGGACACAATACTTCAGGTGTGGCCTCACCAGTGCCGAGTACAGGGGGACAATCACCTCCCAGTATCCCAGTCTATCCTGTGGGAATTCAGCCCTGGTAATTTTGTTAGGTGCCGTGCACCTCTCACACTCGTCTAAGTCAGACAGAGCTAAAGATTTTAATGTCTCTTCTGCAGAGCACATCAGAGCCAAGCATCAAGCCACGTTTAGAGTCTCCATGCAACTGTTCCAAGTCCAAAAGAAAGCTGCTCCCATACACAACCACCACCCAGCGTGAGCGTGGATCTTTCTGGGTGCATGGAGACTCCTCTTCAAACTCCCACCCCACCCTTTCTCAGCCTACCCAGGAATTTCAGCCCGGACACAAGAGACAAAGCCTCCCAACTGCTGGATCTTGTTGACAGATCTGAAGCCTTCCATCAGGGCGCTTGAAGCCACGATGCTGTGGAGAGACTGCTGAGGCTCATCCGACCTGCTCCTTACTGCTCATCCACGTGGGCACCAGTGGTACTTCCAGGGTGAACTTAAAGTATCAAGAGTGAGTGCTGGGGCTCTGGAGGTGAGGGTACGGGGCATAGGGGCCCAGAATCTCCCGAATCCTTCCAGGAAAAGGGGAAAAGGTTTGGGCAGGAATGAAGGTGGGTCAACTCTCAGCTGCAGAGCTGGCGAGGCAGGCAGGGCTTCAGCTGCTGTGAGCACAGGATGCTATTTGGGGATCGATGGCTACTGAGCAGGGATGGGATGCATCTGGTGCATTGGGACAAAAGCCTCGATGCCAACAGGCTTGACAAGTGTTAAATGAGGTGCATCAGGGGAAGGATTACAATCTGAAGATGAGAATCCAGGAAGAAATGTCCAGGGGATGATACAATAACCGAGGCTTTCCTGAAAGCAGTGCAACTGGGGCAGAGTCACACGTGATGCTGGGGTGGGGCCTCCTACAGACTGCTTGGCCAAAAGGAGGATGTCGATGAACCTTCTTCAGAAAGCTGGAAGAAGGATGACAATTGCAGATCCTGGGACTCATGGAGGATCTCAACCACCTGCCTATCTGGTGGGCACAAGCAATCCAGGTTTCTAGAGCATGCTGAAGAAATTCTTGACACGGTGACCAACAGCTGGTGAGGGGAAGTGCCCTGCTGTATTTGTCACTCACCCGTAAGAAAGAACTGGACAAAGATGTGAAGGTCAAGGGCAGTCTTGGCTGCAGTGAACCATGAGGTGGTGGTTTAAAATCTGGAGAGGAGTCAACAAGACAAACAGCATGGACTTCAAGAGAGCAGACTTCCATTTATTAGGGAGCTGTGGTTTCGCTGGATAGTAGGTAGGGATAGTGGGAATCTTGTTCATCCATTCAGGTATGTCAGTAATTAGATTATGAGGTATTTGGCTATGTATCGAGCACACAATGGAGTGTGTGTTCCTGTTCCAGGTTTTCTGAAGGTGGCCCATCCACCGAGACACAGCCAGTAGCTTTGTCAGTCCAGTGAGATTCATGATTTAGGTCATCATGAGATCCCACGTCTGTTTTTATTAGTGATTTAAATTCTACATTACTACAACATATCTGCATATTACTATTCTATAATAACTACAAACTACAATCTGTAATTAAACTATAGTCAAATTAATTAAGTTCTTACCACTGTCCATGCTTTGTTAGCAAATACACGTAGCATGTCGACAGAGCTAAACAAAGCACAATTTGACAAACATCTAGCAACTTTCTCCTGGCAGTAATTTGAGAATCCCAGGTATTTTAATAATACTACACGCTAAGGGAACCCCGTAAATTTTATAGAGGCAGCATTAGTCAGTTCTTGGACTTGCATTTTTAAATGTTGGCATTTCCTTACCTTCTCCTCTGCTGCCTCTTCCTAAGACTTCAGTGTTGTTTCGTATCTAATTGTTATGTCAGCTACAAAAGCCTGATCACCTCTAACAAACACTGAGTCTGGTTTATAGAATTCATTTGATGATCTCTGAGCAGCGGTTCTTGGGATACCACCCAGTCTTTCTTTTTGGTTTCACCTGTCAATAGATGACAAATCTGGTTACGTCTTTTAATCCTGGCATCTCGTACTGCTGGGCAGCAGCCAGTGACGCCTGAACAAGTCTCCTCCTCAGCCTGACAATGCCAACGAGATCTGATGGAAGTCTCTTGCCTCCCTCGCACCAGGAATTCGCTGGTTGGATAAACATTTGCATGAAGTCGCAGCGCAGTAAATTAACTTCCTCTAAGGAATGCCCCTGTAGTTTACAATCCAGTTATTACTGATTTTATCCTTTTCAAAATTGGAAATACCATGGCCCCGAGGTAGTAGTTCAGTCCAATTGATAAACTACCGTTTGTGCCAGTTACAGGGTCTCAGGTAGATGGTTTTTGGAGCAGGGATCTCCCATTCTGAGACCAGCTCTTCTGAGACCACCTGATTCTGATATAACCGTGACTGCCTTTGGGTCCCAAATAGATGGCATTTTGTCCTTCTCACCTCCGCCTCCAACCCGTAATTGTTCAAATTCTTTCTTGTTTAACAGTAGTGCATAAAGTTTCATCCGAAGACTGCACAATTCGCTGTAGTCTTTGAACCTGTACACTAGGAATCAACGCCACTGGTTTGGTGATTCCCAAACCTCCCTCCTGAGTGCTGGAATACAGGATGGCACCAGAGGTACTCGGTGGTAAACGTAACCACTCCTTCAGGGCAGTTCGTATAGCCAAGGCAAGAGTTTCCAGATATGTAGGTTTTATATCAGCCTTATCTGCTAGATGGATCAGTCGTGGGATCATATACCCTTTTGAGATGTCAGCCTTCTGAAACGGTTTTAATAACGCCTTTCCACAGCTTTCTCCAACCATCCTTCTGCTTTGTTTAACAGTTCTGGTTTTGATATTCCAGTCCATGGGTCAATATACAGACCTAGGTACTTCTCAGAACTACCAGGTGCAACCACATTGAGGGGGGTGCCGTTAAGCGTCCAAGAAGGACAGTCATTGACCATATACAAGTCTTTTGTTGGCTGGATGAAGAAGCCATGGCACTTTTCCCCTTGTGTCTTGAGGCTGGTTAGTTCACAAAAGGCCTTTACAATGTCAGTATTTTTCTGCATTCCTTCCCAGGACCCACTCAGCAGCACCAAATCCTCAGCAAAAGCCATAGTTGTTGGAACCTTTGAAGAGTGTTGGAATCCACTCCTGCTTGCAGGGGGGCTGCAGATAAGTTACACAAAACTGGAGACAAAGGACTGCCATGCTTCACATCAATCCAAATTCCAATGGGATCTGACTGTTCACTCTTCAGGTGATCACCAGCAGGATGCCCTGGGAAACTCCCATGAAAAGCAGAGGCCCAGGAGAGCTGGCTGATCCTCCAGGACAGCCTCCTCACGGCACACGGCTCCGGAGGATCCCACAGCTGTGTAAATGACCCCGTGTTGCTTTTGGCTGGAACAGTGTTAGTTTTCTTCACGGCAGCTGGGATGCGACTGTGTTTTGGATCTGTGCTGGGAACAGAGCTGATGACACAGAGATGTTTTCTTTATTGCTGAGCAGGGCTCGCACAGCGACAAGGCCTTTTCTGCTCCTCACCCTGCCCCACCAGTGAGCAGAGTGGGGGCACAGGAGAAGCTGGGAGGAGACACAGCTGACCCCAGCTGCCCAAAGGCATATTCCATGCCATATGACACCATGCTCAGTATATAACGCTGGGGGAAGGAGGAAAGGGGTGATGTTTGGGGTGATGGCCTCTGTCTTCCCAAGTCACCGTTACACATGGAGCCCTTTCCTGGAGATGGCTGAGCACCTGCCTGCTGATGGGAAGCAGTGAATGAATGCCTTGGTTTGCTTTGCTTGCCTGTGTGACTTTTGCTTTACTTATTAAACTGTCTTTATCTCAACCCACGAGTTTTTTTCCACTTTTATTCTTCCAATTTTTCCCCCATCCCGCTGCGGGGGCAGTGAGTGAGCAGCTACCTGGTGCTCAGCTGCCAGCTGGGGTTAAACCATGACAGACACAAAGGGAGGCTGACAGAGACGGGCCAGAAGGCACAGGTGGCAATGTGAGAAATTCAGGCTAAATTAAGAAAATTTTTACCGTACAGGTGAGCAAATATTGAAAGAAGAGCCCGTAAAGGTTGTGGTTCCACATCCCTGGAGACAGCCAGACCGTAGCTGGATGTGACCCCAAGCAGCCTGCCCAACATCAGACCTGCTCTCGAGCAGGAGGTTGGGCTTTGTGAATTCCACAGGTCCCGTCCATCCTACGTGGCTCCGTCATTCACTGCCAATCTACGGGCCAGCAGCCAGAGCAAACACGGAGAATCTCAAGTAAGTCACAAAATCATTCTCCAGAGTCAGGTGGAGACACGGCCAGGAGCCTGTCTGGATTTACAAAGAGTAACCCCCATTAGTTCCTCTGCTCTTTCTGGGGAAGGCAAATAGACCCAGTCAATACCTGGGCTGGAACTTGCACCCCTTGATTTCAATCCTCATTTCCCTGGAGGAGGAGCCTGGGTCTCAGTACCAGGCCTCTAACTGGAGCTGTTCCTCCCAACATGGGGAGGGCAGGGGCTGCTGTAGTTCTCACTCACCTCTTTTGCACTTGTGAAGGCCACTCCAGAAAAGGCATATCTGTCAACCACAAGTGTGATCCCTTGTTGTAATTTCTCTTTCATCAACGGTCTGAAAACCACACGGGAGAAGGAAAAAAGAGAAAAAACAGAGTTACACTCCTTTATAGCAAACAAATTAGACTTCATCTAAAAGACAACTCATGAGGGACTTCCCTGGAAGTGTTCAAGGCCAGGCTGGATGGGGCTTGGAGCAACCTGCTCTAGTGGGAGGTGTCCCTGCCCAGGGCAGGGGGGTTGGAACTAGATGATCTTTAGGGTCCCTGCCAACCTAAATCACGATTTAGGTTCAATCATGCTTGGACCTTTAGGAGCTCAGGTCCAATCCAACCTTCCAACCTAAAATCATGATTCTATGATGCTGTTAACGTATACCATCATTAACAGAGATCATTAGCAGTGAGGATCACGGACAAATAGCGGTGCTCTGTCCTCTAACAGACGTTAACCAAACACCCTCTCAACACACCCACTCTCAGGGTGTCCCAGCACTGCTCCAGGCAGCTCCATGGCATACAGGCAAGACACCAGGTAAACTGTTCAGCCATGAACAGCATAATCCTCTTCCCTTTTTAGGCAGTGCACTGTGTTTGTCACACGCTCTGCCTTGGAAAGAGAAAAGTCTCCATTATTCACGACAATGACACCTCTTATTACAGTTCACTCATCTGCCTCCCGCCTTCCCAGTTCGGCTGGCTCCACCCCTACAGCAGAAACAGCAATGTTTTGGTTTGGTTTTTTTTTTTAAATGGAAAACATTTTGCAGTATGGATTTCCAGGTAAAAACAGCAGGTGTCACGGATTTCCCTAACTCCACACGCCAGGACTCAGTTGGGCCAAAAGCAAGGGCAGCCACCTAGGGCCGAATGCAGCCTTCGGAGGCGGTTCCTGAGCCCTCTGCCACACCCTTGCAAAGCAAGGAACCCCCAGGCAGGACAGTGAATCCACAGTTTTGGCTGGTACAGTCTCAGCTCCCTAATTCTTGAATCCGGTATGCTACACGGATGGGAAATACTGCACCTAATGACTCCAAAAAAAGACAAACTGTGGGATTTGATCTGAGATGAAATCCAAAGCTGTAAGAGTCCTCACGGCGTTGCTTCCAGCCATGCCTCCCTTGCTAAACAGGATCACACTCACCGTACCCACACATGGGCACAGTAAAACCCCAGGGAGGACACAATGCCACCCATTTTTGTTCTTAGACTTAATGAAGCTGATCCTTACACGTGCTCCCAGCGGTTGGCAGAGAAGAGCAGGTGAACGGTGTGATCCTCCAGGTTCTTCTCCTTCAGCAGGTAGGAGCTGATCAGCCGCCCAATCTCTGTTGTTCTCTCTGTAAGGAGGGGAGAAACAAACACTGCCCTGAGCTGCCCCCGCTGAAGGGACATCCACCTCTCCCGGGGGGACATCAGTCTGTCCGGGGTCTGTCTGTCACGGGTGGGAGGACGTCAGTCTGTCCAGGGAGGGGGGGTCTATCTGTCTCTCTGTCACGGGTGGGAGGAGGTCGGTCTGTCCAGGGAGGGGGGGGTCTGTCTGTCTGTCT